TCGGCCGAGCCGGTCGAGGGAGACTGCCGGCTGGCCTGCGCGCTGCGCCCCTCGGATACCTGAAGTGACACTTCCTTTTTTTTTTTTTCAGTGCAACTTAATCGAGGCGCTGGGCCCCTCGACTGGGTACACCGACCGTCTGCCGAGCTGACCGAGGGAGACTGCCGGCTTGCCTGCGCGCTGGGCCCCTCGCATAGCTTAAGTGGCTTCCATTTTTTCAGAGTAAAATTGCCATTTGTGAGAGTGCACGGCTTAGGCCTTGGAGTAGGTGGACCTGTTTGGTATCAAAGGAAAGGCCTTGACAAGGGCTACAATCCTGGGGGGATAAATTGGACCTGTGTGTCCCAGGGTTCGAGGAGTGAATTTTTGAAAATATGTCTTTTTGGAGAAAAGCTTAAGTGACACTTCCTTTTTTCAATGTGAAATATTTCTGTGCATGATGGGGAGGAGTGTAGTACGTAGTTTTTTTCCTCTTGTCCAGACGAACATTTCGATACCAAGAACACCCACTTACGCCCAAGAGTACGAAAGATACAATCAAAATGGCAATGAGGTCGGAAAGTTCCAAGTCAGTGACAATGTAGATTTTTTTCATACCTCCCGAACCCGACCCCCCCGGGGCACCAATTTTTCAGGGATTGTAGACCAGACCCCAGAAAAACTTTCCTGAAGGTTTGGTCTCTTAACTCTTATAATTATGAAAGATATGGTCCGAATGCGGGGAAAAGCGACTTTTGTAATTGACCGAAATTCCAACTCAGATGGTGGGGTAGTTGGGGTATACACTTTACAGGACCTTGAGTCTGGGGTCGAAATCGGAGGAATGGAGGACCGCACTGACTGTCTGCCGAGCGGGTCGAGGCAGTCTGCCGGCTGGGATCCTCGGAAAGCTTAAGTGACAATTCCATTATTTCTTTTGTTTTTTTTTCGTGCAACTTGGTCGAGGGGGACGGACGGTCGGCCTGCGCTCTCTGCCCCTCGACCGGCCTGCACCGACCGTGTGCCGAGCTGGTCGAGGGAGACGGCCGGCTGCCTCGACGGTCTGCACCGACCGTCTGCCGAGCTGGTCGAGGGAGACGGCCGGCCGGCCTGAGCGCTCTGTCCCTCGACCTGCCTGCACCGACCGTGTGTAGAGCTGGTCGAGGGAGACGGCCGGCCGGCCTGCGCGCTCTGCCCCTCGACCTGCCTGCACCGACCGTGTGCCGAGCTGGTCGAGGGCGACGGCCGGCCGGCCTGCGCTCTCGGGGCCCTCGACCTGGCTGCACCGACCGTGAGCCGAGCTGGTCGAGGGAGACGGCCGGCCGGCCTGCGCTCTCTGCCCCTCGACCTGGCTGCACCGACCGTGCGCCGAGCTGGTCGGGGGAGACGGCCGGCTGGCTCGACGTTCTGCAGCGACCGTGTGCCCAGCTGGTCGAGGGGGACGGACGGCCGGCCTGCGCTCTCGGCCCCTCGACCTGGCCGCACCGACCGTGCGCCGAGCTGGTCGAGGGAGACGGCCGGCTGCCTCGACGGTCTGCACCGACCGTGTGCCGAGCTGGTCGAGGTGGACGGCCGGCCGGCCTGCGCTCTCGGGCCCTCGACCTGGCTGCACCGACCGTGTGTAGAGCTGGTCGAGGGAGACGGCCGGCTGCCTCGACGGTCTGCACCGACCGTGTGCCGAGCTGGTCGAGGTGGACGGCCGGCCGGCCTGCGCTCTCGGGCCCTCGACCTGGCTGCACCGACCGTGTGCCGAGCTGGTCGAGGGAGACGGCCGGCCGGCCTGCGCGCTCTGCCCCTCGACCTGGCTGCACCGACCGTGCGCCGAGCTGGTCGAGGGAGACGGCCGGCTGGCTCGACGGCCTGCACCGACCGTGTGCCGAGCTGGTCGAGGGGGACGGCCGGCTGGCTCGACGTTCTACAGCGACCGTGTGCCCAGCTGGTCGAGGGAGACGGCCGGCCGGCCTGCGCGCTCTGCCCCTCGACCTGCCTGCACCGACCGTGTGTAGAGCTGGTCGAAGGAGACGGCCGGCTGCCTCGACGGCCTGCACCGACCTTCTGCCGAACTGGTCGAGGGAGACGGCCGGCCGGCCTGCGCTCTCTGCCCGTCGACCTGGCCGCACCGACCGTGTGCCGAGCTGGTCGAGGGGGACGGCCGGCTGGCTCGACGTTCTGCAGCGACCGTGTGCCCAGCTGGTCGAGGGAGACGGCCGGCCGGCCTGCGCGCTCTGCCCCTCGACCTGCCTGCACCGACCGTGTGTAGAGCTGGTCGAGGGAGACGGCCGGCTGCCTCGACGGCCTGCACCGACCGTCTGCCGAACTGGTCGAGGGAGACGGCCGGCCGGCCTGCGCTCTCTGCCCCTCGACCTGGCTGCACCGACCGTGCGCCGAGCTGGTCGAGGGAGACGGCCGGCTGGCTTGCGCGCTCTGCCCCTCGACCTGGCTGCACCGACCGTGCGCCGAGCTGGTCGAGGGAGACGGCCGGCTGCCTCGACCTGCCTGCACCGACCGTGTGCCGAGCTGG